TGTGATTGTGACTGGTACATAGCTATGACCATAAATTGTACAGTATTGTAACCTTAATATTTAATTAATAAAATATTTGCAATTATTTATTTAATTATGGCATAATTTTTGAAACTTTAAAAGAACATTTTTAATTTTGAAATTGTTTCTCTTAACTTCCTTAAATATGTCATATTCCCATCATAGATTGGTGAACAAATTGATGACATGGCATTATATTAACATTTAACTGTTTTCATTCTCTATTTTTCCCTCTATTTCTCTCTTCCAAAATGTTTTTTTTTTTTAATCTTTCGTATATACTAATCTGTAAATAATTATGTACAAACAGTATTATTCAAAAAATTTAGCCCCCGGTGGAGATTAAAATAAAATTTTTAGTAAATTTTGATAAAAATTAATAAAATGTGTGGTTGAAAAGTCGTGAATCCCATAAAATGTGTAATAAAAATTAATTGTTGACTTCAAATTAAAATATGAACTTTAATTACTACCAAACAAGGCTTAGAGAAATTAATGGAGTTTTTTTTTTTTGGTAATAGTTATGATCACGAATTCCCGTGTGCCTTTTTGGTTTAGCTATAAATATATTGATAAGAATTTAAGTCAGTATCAACAATTAATTTTAATAATAAATTTCATAAAATTTTGCAATTATTATTAACTTTTAACCACACATTTTATATTTTATCAAAATGCACTAAAAAATTGATTATTAACTAAATGAAAGAGGGACTTAGCATGTTTAGATATAGCAAATTGTTCCAAAAAATCCTTAGCTAAGTTTAAACTCTCGAAGACTCAAATTATTTTCATTTGTGGTTAGATACGAAATTTTCGACAAAAAATGAATCAAATCGACTAACAATCATTTAGAACTGGTCAGATTGTGGGCATCATGGTCACAATTAGTGGTGAATCCAAGATTGTAAGATAGTTAGGCGGTTGTTGACCATTGATTAAAACGTAAAAATCAAATACATATGAAAGTAATCTTTATGTTATTTAACCATTAATGTGCTCGACTAGACGCAGTGACGAGACTAGATGCAGCACTAAAAGAACTAGGTTGGAACCTTCGTTTTGATTGAAAAAATCATTCCATAATCTAGTATAATGGTGGTAGAAAAACAGAGATTCTAGTTAGATTTATCTCTGATTTTTTAAGAAATCTACATGTAGACTAGTGATTTAGCAGGTTACATAGCAAACAAAGAGTTCTTGTTAAATCTTGAACATAAAAAGTATTGAAGAATATAAACTAAAGTCATGAATCAACATAATTTAGTCAGCAGACCAACATTCCCTGTAGAGTAAAACCGAAGCTTGCGGTATCCTTAAACGCCAAATTTCACATGAAAACATAATTGCTGATGTTGGATTTGAATCTATTCTCAAAATTTTATTACAAATCACAAAACTATTCAAACGTATGGCTTGTAGCAATCGTTGTCAGAATCAATAGTTGAGACAAGAAAAATGATCTTACAATGACACTGAATCCAGTAATATTTGTAAAAGAAGTAGTAATTGAGGCGCTGGATAGTTCAAGTTCTCCAAGATGTCCCAACATCATCAACGATATAACCCGCAACATGTACTGAGATAGTGTCACCACTATCATCAGAAATGCTATGTTATTCACCCAATTCAACTCTCTTACAAGTGTCCCCATGTACTGAATATAGTCTATAGAGATAGGGTTTGCACTGCCGGTTTCGTATGAAATTGCAATTGAAGTTTGGAGTGCGATTTCTGATTCAATACAAGTTGATCCCATATTAGATATTTAGATTGAGTCTTTTTTAAATAAAAACAAGAGGCCCAATTCCAAAAGAGCCCACAATTTAAAAAAAAAAAGTCAAATCCTATTGCTTTCATCTTCAACCTCGTGACACGTCCTCAATGCCTGCGTGAGTGTGATTGCGTCTTCAAGTTTTCTGCAGCGACTCCGACGGATCTAGCCACTTTCCCTCGCCGGGTGCTAGATCCACCACTGGTCACAATAGATTGGATTTGATCGATTTAGTTTTCGCCGATATAAATATATTTTTGCAGATGATTTGTTATGATTTTTATCACCTTGTAGACATGAATTCGTAGTTCATTTGTGCATCTAGAAATCAAAATTTTAAGAACTATTTACCGGATTGGATTCTAGTGTTTGTTAAATTTAAACTACAGTTCCACATAATACGTGGATAAAAATTAGATAGTAATTGTAGTTGAAAATCTTACTAAATGTTTTGGATGAAAAATATAATTGACCAAAAGTGTATATAATTTAGCCCCCATTACTTGGTATGATAATTTTTGGAATAGCGTTTTCTTTGGAGAATGGACGGTTGAAAAAAAAAAGAAAAAATTTCGATTTACATATAACATAGTTCATTGAAAAATGTGTAATTGAAAAGAAAAAAGAAAAAAGTATTATAATTTTATCGTGGGCCAAAAGGGCTCTAAGACACCTCTCGTGGTAAAATAAATAACATAGCTTTTCTGGCGCCATGGTTCAGCCTCTTCAACAATCTAGCATGATTGCTTAAACAGATCCACTGAACCCCGTATACATAATTTATGCACAAGTTAGACAACTAGTATCGGCAATTTTTCTGCTGTATACAAAATTATTTCAATTAATCAAAGTCCGAAAGTGATCAACAAATTCCACAAAGAAGTTGAAACTACATTGACTTGGAGCTACAAAGAGAGTAACCAGATATAAGCGAACTATCTGCTAGGGCAACAAATGCAAGGAATGACATTCACACAAAGGCACTAGCCATGTTTGGAAACTTGTTATTCCCCCAATTGGATTGTCATTCATCAATTGTGGTCGTAGCAGATGAAGATGCCGATATCAGAAGATAAGTAATTATCTATCATTGCAAACTGTTAGACATACCGTATATGCAATCGATACCGTATATGTAAGAGTTACCGTATTTACAGCTTAGATACCGTATATGCAGAATGGACACCGGTTTTACACACTTGATACCAGATTTGCAATTTAAATACCGTATATGCTTAACCACCGTATTTACACATACATTTTTTGCATATTATAACAGATGAAATTATATATCTAACAAATTCAATGATTTGTTAATTATAGTAAGAAATAACAAGCAAAAAAAATAATAATAATAAACAGTAATAAACTTTTAACCCTATGCCTGTGTTACACACAGTTTCCTTAAAACAGATTCGTCCTCTTACCGTACGTGCTTGAGGTATAATTTGAACGCCTGCTGCTCAAGATACAACGGTAGAACAATAGAATCTGAGTACCACAGATTTTACTCCGGCGAATGGAGTTAGTGCCCAAACAGTATCACCACAAAGACTGAAACAGAAACTGAAAAACTAAAACAAACTCGAACTGTATGCAGATGAATTTTCAGATGAAATTCGTGTGTTGAAAACTGGAAAAAATCGAGATATATATAGACTTAGACCTTGTAACTTGCCATTCACTTCATGGCAATTACCACAGGAGTTTCATCAGTTTCAGAAAAAATAAAAATGTGGACACTCCTAAGGGGTTAGGAGCCAATTTTGCTCCTTTTGGTCCGACATTCGTGTACGCAGGTCACGCCCACACACAAGTTCAAGGTTCGAAACCCATTTTGGTCCATGATTTGCACACCCCTACGCGCGCACGTGGAAAGAGCCTCTATGCTACACATGATTACACAATTCTAAAGTGTAATTCTTTATAAAGTGGTTTTAGTTTTCATCCATTTCCTATGTAGGACAAACTCCTTTTTTTTTAGTTTCCCAACAACATAAACTTCTTTTAAGTGGCACACTTTAAGCTTCAATTTCTCATTCAGTCGAGTATCAATTTTGGCAAGTAAATATATGATTTCGATGTACTCACGGAGGAGAACGCAAATCAATCTTGTTTTTTCCAAAATAGTCAAATGGGTCCCCCTCAAAACTCATGCCAAAATCAGCCAACATATCATTTTTTTCCAACACAAACAATATAAAAAACAAGTTTAGTCATCGATGCCAAATGATATGTTTAAGCATGCCGATCAAGTTTGAGACTGAATCTATACAGCAAGAGAATACAAAATGTGGATATGAAATATAGCTGACACTCGAGTCTTTCATATCGTTGCTTGATCCCGATTTTTTCATTAGTTTCTGATTGACATGTTGTTACACTTATCCTGAATTATAATTTTTTTTTAAGGAAAGCACCGTCACATCCTCGGAGTGTCTTTTAGGCTGAAGGATATACGTGTGGAGAATATTTGGAGGTTGAAAGGATTATCATCTTTACAATTTGCGTCTCTCTTTTTCTCACGATGACAATTCCATCTTAGCTCGTAAAACCCTCTTTCTACTCGCATCCAACTGCTAGATGAACAATAGACTCCAAAAAGTGAAAAATCCAGCTCCACTGGGTAAAAGGTGGTCCGTATGAACACCCAGCCACAGCTCGTTACACGTGAAATATCACCAAATAAGGCCAACTGTAAGAAAGAATTGCCAAGCATAGGCAAAGGGTATAAGAATGGATTTTTCCTAACTATACTAAAAGAGCCACTTTGCTACGTCATCGTCGCCCAATACGACGCCGTTTCGTTATTCAGCGTGTTTTCCTTCAATTCGTCAATTCCACCGCCTGCATCTCTTACCAAAACCAATCCATTCCCTATGTTTACTCTCTCCAAAATCCATTTCAATTTCCACTTCCACCGCCGCAAACCAATCCACCCATTTGTCAACTCGTTCAAGGTTTGAGCATATCCTCTCTCTCTCAATTTCCCCCCAACTTCCGAAGATCTCTAAAGATCTATCCCGCATGAACACCAGGTAAATCTTTAATTTCTTCCCTTAGAGAGCTGTCGCGAAGCCCCTCATCACCTTCTTCGATTCCCCAATACAGAGACACCAACCGTGCGAGACGGAGACAGGAGACGGAGAGGCGAAAATGAATAGTATACGGAGCCATTTATCCATGCCTCCACTTGGACGGAGGCATGGAGAAATGCTATGCCTCCGTTCCAAGGAGGAGGCATGAGTGCACGGAGGTATTTGTCCATACCTCCGTCCACTTGGACGGAGGCATGGACAAATGCCTCCGTCCCTCTGTCCAATTGGATGGAGGCATGTCGAGTGAACGGATTCATGTATTACCTCCAGCGGAGCCCTCACATTCCATTCCACAAAAAAATCAGCCAAAAAATTGGGACCAGGATTCGAATTCGGGCTCGGGGTACATTCGGATTCATTCGAGACCTGGTAGAGATCATTATCAGAAAATTCTTCATTCTGCGGCAATAATTTCCACGTCGAATCGGATCCCGCTTCCTTTTGGACTTCTTGACTTGCACGGAGCCGGAGAAAATAGAGTAAGATAATTGAGATAAAAAATAGAACTAGCAAGGAAAAAAGTCCATGACAAAAAGCTGGGAAGTAGAGTAGAATCAGAATGTAGAGAGTGAAAATGGTGGAAAATAGAGAGGTACAGATTCTCAAAATGGTGGAATTCTTATTGGTTGATGGAGGAGAGTGTTTGGGGTCCATCGAGATATAAGGTCTCTGATATGCTCAAGAAAGGGGCTAAAATGGGGATGCCCATTTGCAGGACTTGGGCTTTCAGTGATGGTGCTCGACCCAATGATCTTCAGACTCAACCTGGTGTTTCTGGTTTTTAATAGAATTT